TCTCTCTGTCAAATAAATAAATAAAATCTTTAAAAAAATAAATAAATAAAATGTCATTTTAGGGGCGCCTGGGGTGGCTCAGCTGGTTGAGCTCTGACTCGATCTCAGCTTAGGTCATGATCTCAGGGTCATGAGTTCGAGCCCCGTGTCAGGCTCCACGCTGGGTGTGGAGGTTACTTTTAAAAAGTGTGGTTTTAGCATGTGTATGTAGACTATTTCTAGTTATCTCAGACTTCCAGTAACCCCAGGAATCAGTGCACTCTTCATCCCAGCTTGGCTGGTGTGCAGTTGAGAGTTGGTGCCGGTTTCTCTGGGATCGACTCCGAGGAGCCATGTGGGGGCCCCGCGCTTTGCGGGCGCGTCTGGGCTGCTCTCCGGATGGTTCTGCCGACGTGGCTTCCTGTGTGGTGGTCTCGGGGCTCACGGAGCGTTGGGGGCTCCTGACGAGGGTCATACCGTCCCCGCATGGCGGGCTCTTCCTCGCTGGTGTTTCGCATGCGTGGTGTGCTGTCCTCAGCGGCCCTGGCTGGCACCTGTCCGGCCCCGGGAGCGCTACCAACACCCCTCACCGGGGCCCTGACCACAGCTGACCCGACAGGCCAGGCTTCTGGCTCCCCCGCGCGGCTTTTCGCTCCTCCGGGGAAGCGGAGGGACGCCTGTGCCCAGCAGAGCACCGTGGCCGATGTGGGGAGAGGAGGGCCAGAGCTCCTAGTTGGATGGTGGTTTGCACGTGGCTTGTGGTACCCCCACGGCAGCCGTGGGAGAGCGGGGAGATGTGCCCCAGGCCACGCCGTGTGTGGGAGGTGGGGCCGCACCGTGGACCCTGGAGGTCACGCCCCCTCACACTCCCACACCCGGGAGGCGTCTGGGGGACAGACATGGTGATGTCGCACCCCTTCTTGGGCCCAGGCCTCGGCCTCCGCCCCCGTAGCCCTGGATTGCGAGTGGGCAGCTAGGCTGACTCTTCCCCAGCTCTTTGTGGCCTCTTCTTGGGCGGCGCGAGGACAGGAGTGCGTTTCCGGCCGAGGCGCTCCAGGCGTGCGGGACAGCAGGGCCCGCGGCGCACCGACCCCACGCCCCTCCCCTCTGCTCCCCTGCAGGTGGACCAGCGGGTGTTCAGAGACCTCATGAGCGAGAAGCTGCCTCGGCTGCACACGCATCTGGAACAGTACGGCGTCGACTACACCCTGATCACGTTCAACTGGTTTCTGGTGGTGTTTGTGGACAGCGTCGTCAGCGACATCCTCTTCAAGATCTGGGACTCTTTCCTTTATGAGGGACCAAAGGTGGGTCCGCTCGCTGGGTGACTGGGCACGCTGCTGGTGGCAAGTGGCCAGCTCACCGGGGACGTGGTGGGCCGCCGTGGGAGGGCCTGGGGCGCGGGAGGCCGCTGCCCGGGCAGCCCCGAGCGGAGGGCCTCTCTGCTGACGGACGTCCCCGTGCTGCCCGCAGGTCATTTTCCGGTTTGCCCTGGCGCTTTTCAAATACAAGGAGGAGGAGATCCTGAAGCTGCAGGACTCGATGTCCATATTCAAGTATCTCCGCTACTTCACTCGCACGATCCTCGACGCCAGGTGAGTCCTCGGGTGGGGGTCCCAGCTGCCCCTGCTCCACGGAGAGCAGCCTTCCCGGGTGTATGGTGTGCGAGCGAGGGGTGGGAGAGGCTCTGGACACCCGGTGGCCTCCACCGACGAGGGGGAACCAGGATGGAGGACGGCTTGTCCTTGATCCAACCAGTGTGCGTCCCACAGGCCGGTTTGTTTGTGTTCAGCAAGTGTTTCCTGAGCTTTCCCGGCGTGGCAGGCCGTCCGCCAGGCACTGAGGGTGACGGGGGAGGGACAGGCCCTGACGGGAAGAACCCGAGGGGAGATGGATGGCCTGATGGGCTGGGTGCTGCCGTGGGGGAAGCCCGGGATGGGGCAGGTGGGGGGCAAGGCGGGGTGAGCGGGGCTGGGTGGGGGCACCTGGGAGAGGGTGTCCTGGGCCCAGGGAGCTGAAGCAGCAGTGGGGACGTGAGACGCAGTGTGTCCGGGGCCGTGGAAGTGGCTCGGCCTGGGCGGCCGGGCGGGAGCAGAGCGGGACTGGGCCTCATCGCTGGGGTGTCGGGAAGACAAGAGGAGGGCTGGCAGCGGGGAGGAGGCCAGGGGGTCGGGGTGGCCTGGGGTGGGGCGCGAGGTGCCCCCAGAGAGGGAGGAGGGGCAAACTGGAGGGCAGGAGAGGAAGTGGACCTGGGAAGACCCAGGACTTTGGACCGGGCACCGCGTGTGGGGGGAGCATCTCCGTGCCCCCCCACAGGCCACACAGTGTCGCCTGTTGCAGGCCATTGTCTTGCATGTGCCCTGACGGCGGCTGGCGGCTGTTCTGGCCACGCTCCCACAGGGGCTCCCACGGAGATGCCGCTGGTTGGGCGGGGGAGGAACGTCTGGGGCTTATATATGCTTTCAAACTTTTTTTTTTTATATATATTTTATTTATTTATTTGAGAGTGAGCACAAGCAGGGAAGAGGGAGAAGCAGACTCCCCGCTGAGCAGGGTGCCTGATGCGAGACTCGATCCCAGGACCCTGGGATCATGACCTGAGCCGAAGGCAGACGCTTAACCCACTGAGCCACCAGGCGCCCCACTTTCAAACTCTTTGGACTGTAGCTCATAGGAAAGCTGCTTTGTCTCAGACCTGGGATGCCCGTTCTGGAGTGTGTAGAAATGAAACAATTTGTTGAAATGTTTGTGGTTCTTGCTAAAGGTCTGTGTTAGATATTGAGGTTTTTGATTCCCTTTCGGTTATGAAATGCTTGTTGCGACTCCCCACGCGGACTCTTCCATCCGCTGATGTGTCACAACCTGCTTCCAACCCCCGGGGCCCCTGGTAAGTGGACAGGCGCCCCTCTCCTGGGCCGGCCCGTGAGACGCCCAGGGCAGTATCCAGGCCTCCGAGCTGCAGGGCGCCAGTGTGGGGGCGAGCCTGGCCGCGGGCGGGACCCGGGGCAGGAGCTGGGCTGAGGCCCCCGGGGGACGGGACACTGGGAGCAGAAGGGGCTGACGGAGGCCACACCTGACTCCCAGAAGTCATCGCTATTTTTAGGGCCTCCCGCTTGGGAAGTGGATTTGTAGGGTATATTCAGGCGTCCTCAGGTGCCTGCAGCAGTGACCTAGGCCTCACCACGTGGAGCCTGAGGGTAACGTTGGCCAGTGAGAGTCTGGGGTGAACCTCCAGGGCGTCCACCGACCTCGCACGAGGTCAAGGTTGAGAAGGGCTTGGCAGTGGGGATGTGGGCATGGCCGGCCCCTTGTCAGTGGCTCTGGGGCAGCTGCCCGGCCGTTGGCTTCAGGAAGTCAGGGTCCACCCTGGGACCCGGGTTTGCAGGTGCGTGATGGCCCAGACCCCAGGGTTTTAATAAGCTCCCCAGACCAGTGGTTCCGGATAAGTAAGCGCTTCTATGAGGAAGGAGGGAGAGGCGGTGGAGTTGGCACGTGTTCAGGGCATGTCGGGTTAACAGGATTAAACCAGTCTCAAGTCAGGGCTCCTGGGTGTTCAGCCTTAGCCGACCACGGGACCCGCTGGGGCTCCTGACCAGGCCTGCAGGGCAGCATCCTGCTGTGCTCGCGGGGTGGCCGGCCGCGCAACACTGGCCCACTGAGGACTTCGGGGCTTTCTGTGTTTGCCTCCTGCAGCGAAGTGGGGGCTGGACACCCGGTCTCGGGGGGCGTGCAGCCTGGGGCTAACAGCTGTGGGAAGGGGCCGGGCGCATGGGCCTGGGTCCCAGGTCCTGGCTGGCACTTCCACTCTGCTTGGGCCGGCCCTGTTCCCCCGCACGCCCGTGTTCTAGAACACTCCGGAATGCGGCCTCTGAAGCTGGCCTCTCCGACCTTCGCCCTCCTGCGGGACAATGCTTTGGAGTCAGGCTGCGTGTAGGGGTGTGAGAAGTCGCCGGCTGACGTCAGGCCAGGTGGCAGCCCTAGCTGCCGGCAGGGGGCCCCGGACAGGGCCAATGTCATCGCAGCTGCTCCTGGGGGCTGGAGGGAAGAGAAGCCGCCGGGCCGGCCGAATCGGGGGCAGGCCCCTTGATGCTGGAGGAACCCACTTCTGTTTTCGCCCCCCGGCGGCCACGGCTGACCCAGTCAGTGCTGGAACCCCTAGCCAGGCCTCGGGGCACGTCCTGGCTCTGTTTTTGTCAAACTGCTGGTCAGAGACCAGGGCAGGTTAGCGGGGTCGGTGCATGGACCCGCGGACGGTGGGAAACCCATCGAGTGCCCATCGTCTATAGACCACGTCCGGCCCTTGTGCGGCGGGCTGGGTCTGACCGTTGCCACCAGGTGGACTCCTTGCCCGTCAGTCCCAGGAAGCCTGAACCAGCCCCCTGCCGGTCCCGCTCAGGCACACCAGCCCTCGGTCGCCCAGCACATGCCAGGCGCTGTTCTGTCCTCACGGGGGCCGCGCTGGTAACCCCACACCCCAGGAGGTGGCACTGCGGTCCTCCCAACATACAGGGAATCAGAAGCCAGAAAGGAAAGGACCCTCACCTCACCCGCCCCACGACACACAGCGAGCGTGGGCCTCCATCCAGGCGGTGGCTCAGGGCCAGCCCCGTAGCCTCTGCATGAGGGGGGCTGGCCTCCAGCTGACACACGTGCCCCAGGCCCCGTCCCACGTCCTGCCCTGCTGACCTCTGTCCCCATCCTCTGTCCCGCCAGGAAGCTGATCAGTATCTCCTTCGGGGACCTGAACCCATTCCCCCTGCGTCAGATCCGGAACCGGCGCGCCTACCACTTGGAGAAGGTGCGGCTGGAGCTGACGGAGCTGGAGGCCATCCGCGAGGACTTCCTGCGTGAGCGGGACACCAGCCCCGATAAGGGCGAGCTGGTCAGCGATGAAGAGGAGGACACCTGAGTGCCCCCCACCCCATGACACTGCTCTTGTCTTCACAACCAAAGCGTGCCAAAAGGATACACAGCAGAGGGGCCTCTGCTCATCGGAAAGCCCGAATGTAATGCCCGTGGTCTCTGGAGGTCTGCTGGGCAGACGTCCACGGCCACACTGCACTTCCTCATTTCCACGCGGGCTGGGGTCTGCTCCGTGTACAGCCATCTCCGGGCCGTGGCGGGCGGTGTCCGTGTCCCGTGTGACCCGTGCACCCCCAGGGGAACCGGCTGGCTGTTGTCGAGCCTGTTGACAGCATCTGTCTGGGTTCTGTGGTTGGCTTGCACCCTGGCGTCTCCCCGTGACACCTCCTAGCCAGAGCGTGGCTGCTTTGGGTGGCGTGAGGTGAGCGAAGCAAGTGCATCTGTGTTCAGAAACAGCCTGGAGAAATCCCACACCTTCCGTGCCAGGCGAACCACCGGCCGTGCCCCATCTCTGGACTAGCTTGGGGCGCCTGGCCCTCCGGACACCCCACGCCCCCAGCCCACGCTCCGCCTGGCATGGCTCCGTGAGGTTCTGTGCTCTCGCCTCTCGGGGAGTGGCTCGTGGAATCACTCTGCGTAGGGATAGGAGTCCACAGAAGCTGTGGACCGCCGTCCTGCAAAGCAGGCCCACCTCGGGGGCAGGCCTTGGTGGAGGAGACAGAGGAGGCTTCTGGGGACGCCTCACGGGGCAGCGGGGCGACTGCAGGGTGACGCCGTTGGCCAGGGCTCCGGGGGCCTCCCCCGCCTGCTGGGATGGCGGGGAGGCCGGCCGCCAGTGCCTTTGCTTGGGCCCCAGCTTTGGTGAGCTGTCCCATTCAGGGTCCCTCCCCAGTGCTGCCCAGAGGCATCCGCGTCCTGGCAGCCGGCCTCCCCCTCCCTGGGGTCAGCGTGGTCCTGGCTGTAGGGTCACCAGCACCTCCAGCAGGTCAGGCTGCCCACGCCGTTCTGCGGACTGGGAGCACTCTTTTTGAAGCTCTGCTGAGAGGCTTTGCGCAGGGAAGGTTGACTTTGCTTCATCGCTCCGCAGACCATCCCTGCTCCACGTGTGGATGCAAGAGTTTCCTGGCACAGCGTTATCCCAATAGGGAAGAAACCATTTCACACGGAATTTTTACACTACCTGGAGAAATTGGAAGTAACCCCCAGCTGAAACGTATCAGACGCAGCCGAAGCGTTGAAGGAGTCCCCTGAGGAAGTGCATTTTCTAAGGACAGATGTTCCGTCTCGGTCCGTGTTTATCGGTGTCCCGGCTGGGCGGGCATCCCCGCATACCACACCGCGTCAGCTTCCGTGTTGTGAGGTTGGTTAGCCTGATCTTTCAGATGGCAGACGCGGCGGGGGGGTGGATGGCTGCTGGAGGTCGGCCTTAGCACGCGGCCTCACTGCCCTCCACGGACCCCTCACCGGCTGGGGGACAACAGTGAGGAGGCGCGGTAGGGTCAGGCTCTAGCTTCCAAGTTGACCTCCCCAGAACTGCCACATCCTGGGGAGAAAATGCTGCCTTTTGGAACAGGCTGGTTATGTCAGTTTTGCCCCAAAAAGATGTATCTTAAAAGCACCTGCATCGGGCCCAGGCGCCTGCTGGGTGTTGCTGGAGCCGTGGTTTCGGGGAGGGCCAGCCGCGCCGTGTTGGTGTCCGCAGGCGGCTGTCCGTGCCCGGGCAGTGGCCATGAGAGCAGCGCGGTCGTGGGGGGCGTGGACGGGGGACACTTTCCCGGAGGCCGCCCTGTCTCTGGGCGTGCAGAGGGCGGCAGGGGTGCTTGGCCTGGCCCAGACCGGGCAGGGTGCCGAGCCGCAGGCCGTGCCCACGACCAAGGGCAGCTACCAGCTCGCACGGGGACGGGCTGAACATCTGTTAATACTTTTGTATATTTTTCACTACAGTTTATATTTTTATAGACTATTTTTATCAAGGGTTTTTCAGTTATGTACATCTATTTTATATAACGAGTTCTTTGTGCGCGGCTGTGTGTGATCGCGAGAACCCGAGCGGCCTGGGTCGCTCCTGGCTCCCGGGCCATCTGTGGCCCCCGGGCTTGCGTGCACTGGCATGGCCTCCCGGGGCCTGTGGTCACGCGCGCCGCTGTCCCACAGCAGCCAGGGCCCCCGGGGCTGGAACGAGTCTGCCTTCCTCCCACACTGTATCCATATAGGAAGTATTCTAGGCGAATCGCCAGTGCGTTTTTTTTTAAACTGTTTGTATTCTTGCACAGATCCCCACCCTGGCTTTGTGCGGGGCTGTCCTCCTGCACGTGCCCTGGGCAGATGGGCCCCACACGGGGCAGCCCCTGCAGGCGGGAGGCTGGCTGCCGCCTCGGGGGGCTGCGTGGGGGGCAGTGCCTGGTGACTTCCTCTGATGTCACTGCGGCTTCTCGGCTTCTTGAGTTAAATTCTGGAACGGTCTTTATACTAAAAAGCCAAATAAACTACTAATTTGTATAATGTTCTGGTTTGAGATGCCATTACAGTTGCTCATGACAGGGCTCACCCCCAGGGTTCAGAGGGGTACAGGACTTCGGTGGGGGGCTCCGAACTGCCAGCCAGCTCTTTTTAGGTCCACGTTCTTGGTTTGCTCTGGGGTGTGTGGGACAGGGTGCCTCCGTCGACCATACAGCCCTGGGAGCCGAAGTCAAGCCGCAGGTGAATGGGGGGGCACCGAGGTGAGCGCTTCGGGGTCCCGGGCCTCAGCCAGGAGCTGGAGCAGCTCCCCCCGCCCCACCCCAGCTGCAGTGTGCCCTGCCTGAGTCATGGGCTGTTTGCCTCCTGTCTGGGCTGACCGCTCCAGCCCAGCTGCCACTGGGTCACCATCCCCTCACCCCCCGTCGTCGGAAAAACACATGAGAACGATTAAGACCAAATGTCTTTCCACGGTGTGGGGGAGGGGGCTCCAGGGAGGATTCCCAGGGTGAGCAGATAAGGATCTGCTGAGCCCGTTTCCTCCTGGGACAGACTCGGTGAGGCTTGGGGTGCCTGAGGTCACAGCAGTGGTGAGCCAGGACTGGGACCCACATGCTCGGTGTGGGCCAGGGCCCAGAGGCAGAGGCCCCGTTCCTTGGAAGGGTTGCTGCCGTGGACAGCATGAGCCCTGGGAAGCTGTTATGGAGTGTGGGTCCCCAGGGCCTCCTCGGGCCACAGAGCTGTTGCAAACACAGGAAGGAAGTCTGATGCCCCTGCACCCCCCGACGGCGCAGTGATCCTGGGACTCTTGCAAGCCCCGGTGACTCGCTTTCCTGAGTGACCTCAGCCCCGCCTGCCTCTGCGTGAGCCACCGTGGGGCCTGCCTGGAGCCGTCTTCCTGCCAGGTCAGAGGGCTCAGCGCCGGGTGAGGGGACCTCCAGGACAGCGTGGCCAGGGCCTCGGGCCCCAGGCCAGACCCACGCAGGGCCCTGGGCTTCTCAGGCCCCGTGGAGCGTGTTACTGAAAGGAGTTTGGTGTGTGAGTGAGAATGGGAAGCTGGAGAGCAGCTCTGCCTTCCATCCCTTCCAGGCGGGGACCGGCCCGGGGACAGATGCTTGTGGATGGCTTTAGCCTCTGCTGTGTTTTCTTGTTCTCAGTCCCCAGGGTGTGACTTTCAGTGATCCCCTCCCACCGAGCCACAAGTAGCCACATGGCCCTCATCCCACCACACAACTCAAGAACCACCATGCACATTACAGGCTGTGTCCCCTGCAGGTGTCCGCGGGGTGGGGGCCTGGGCCTCTCTGACCCTCCGTGTCCCCCATTTGGAGAAGGGGGATTCCACCTTCCAGGAGTAGCACTGGGGAGCAGGCTCTAAAAGACATAGCCACTTCCCAGAGGAGGAGCTGGGCCTGGCAGGATCATGGCTAGCCTGGCTGGAGCCCAGGACCCTCTTGGAGCACCTCCTGCCCATCTGCTGCCCACTGTGTTCACCGGTCTGGCTCCGTGGACGTAGGTTTGGCAGGCAGGACGGGGCTGTGGTGGGCAGGGGCTAGGTTGCACCTGGGCCTGGCAGAGGGACAGGAACCAGCTGCAACCAGCCCAGCCATCTCTGAACACGGAGCCCACGTCGGGAAGGGACAAGTGGGGGCCAGGAAGGGGGTGGCCGTCCGCGCCTACCTGCACCCCCATCACCCCTGGGGGTCATCAGCTCCACTGATCCTCCTCCCCTTTGGTGGTGAGTTAAGGGGGTGCTGGAGTGCTCAGCACCATCCCCGTGGGGGCAGTCCCTGCTGGAGGCAAGGGCCTTGGTGCCCGAGGTGGGGTGAGACCCAGTCACCACGAAACCACAGGTCTCAGGCCCTGGAGTGGGGACGTGGGGGGTGCAGAAGGAGCATGGCTGGGACCAGCACCCCCCGCCCCTCATCTGCAGCCCGCCAAGGACAGCGGACTCCTCCTTGAGGAGCGTGTGAGGAGGATGGAGGGCAGGAGATCGGGTCTGAAATTCTCCCAATGCAAGAGGAAACCAAGCTGCACGTTGAAACTGTAGGTGCTCATTTATGTATAATAATAATAAAGGTTATGCAAACCATTGAAATAAAAAAATACCTTTTCTTAGGGGAGGGGGCCCCAGCCCGCCACCAGCAGGCCAGGTTAGCACCTTCGGGGTGCAGCCCGCAGTCGGGCGTGAGGTCCGTGTGTCCGGGTGGGGTGGGTCAGCGGACCCATGCAGCCTGGCCCGGCTGGGGTGGCTCAGCGGCGGGCGATGCGCTGATGGCCGCGGGAGGGGGCTCCGTGGCCCAGAGGGGGGCAGGAGCGGCAGCACTGGGTGTGGACGGCAGGCAACTGGCATCGGCCCAGCAGACGCAGGGTCTCACAGAAGCCGAAGGGCAGGCGGTCCCGCTCACAGCCTGCGGCAGGGCGGCAGGGGGTGGGGGGCCCTCAGGATGGAGCCCGCACCTGCACCCCCCTGCACCTGCACCCCCCAGCACCTGCACCCCACAGGGCCACCCCAGGGCCTCAGGTCCCCAGTTGTTGCTAGCCTTGTCCCACCTGCCCACCCAGGTCTCTGGGGAACCAGCCTGGCTGCACTCTGCTTTCCAGAGGAAAGGCGTGGGGACCCCCACCCTTGACCACCTCAAGTGCTCACGAGAAACCAAAGAGCCTGCCACCCCTCCCATGCCTGCTGACCCTCGGTGCCCCCGACAGGTCCTGGTGTCAACGGAGGCCCCCTGTGCCTCCTGCCCGCCTGTAGTGGAATCGGCCCCCTGACCCTGACACCTGTCCTGCCAGGTCTCCCTGACCGCTGCAGCCACCTGGGTTGGACTCGGCCTCAGCTTCCGGGTCAGAGTCCCATCGGGCCAGGCCCCGAGGCCCAGGGAGAGCAGGTGGGACCCGGGCCCTGCGGCCTGAGTACAACCCAGGCCTCCTGAGGAGGGACGGAGGAAGGCTGCAGGCGACGCGCATCCAAGGCTGAGGCTTGGCTGACCCTCCCGCCTTGTGCTTATCGGAGCTATTTGGGGAAGCGGTTCGCTTCCCGCCGCCTGGCCGTGCTCCCGCTGCCGCGGCCAGCCCCCAGCTGCCCAGCAGACGTCCCGGGGCAGGAGGAGGGAAGGGCGGTGGACGGCCGCGGGCCTGGGACATCCCCCTGGGCCCAGCAGAGGGGAGGAGGCCACAGCTCTGAGCTGCACATTGGCGGGCCTGCATCCTGTCTGCATGGTGTGACCTCATGCAAGCTTCTTAACCCTGGGCCGGCGGGGGGGGGCCCAGTTCCCTTCTCTGTCCATACCCCCCACCTCCGCAAGTGGATGTGGGTCATGCTAGGTCAGCTGCTCACCGTGGTGACCGCACACCCTGGAGTTTCCAGGCTTTCTAAATGTCTTGCCACGCAGCCCCACAAACCATCAAAACATCCTGGGGCTCCAGGATCTTGGCATCCAAGTCACCTCCCCGCACCGGCCTCCACCCCGAACGCCTGACTGGGGACGGCTGGTGGTTCAGCCACCTAACCCCCCCACCCAGGCCCCTGCCTGCGGTCCACCCGACCCCCCAGAGACCTGGCCTCAGTTCCCAGCAGACACCACAGCCGCCCGAGCCCCCATGGCCCTGAGCCCAGCGTGAGGGGCAGTGAGGGGCCGGGGCCGGCCTCCACGTGGAGGCAGGTGCTGTGGAGGCTGTGGCCGGGAGATCTGATGGGCGGGGCCCTGGGGCCATGGGATTGCAGGAGGCCCGGGCAGCACGGTGTGGCAGCCGCTACTCTGGGCCTGGACCGGGGCTGCCCAGAACCAGCCACTGTCGAGAAGGCAGGTGGGGGGGGTCCCCGAGGCGCTGACAGCCAGTCCAAGGAGCGCAGGCTGTCCTCGGGGCAGGGGGCAGCGGCTGAGAGGCAGAGAAGCTGCTGGGGCCTCCCTCCTGACACGGGGCCCTGGGCTCTCTTCCTGACCTCACAGCAGCTGACCGCGTCGACGCAGTGACCACCTTCCCTCCCGCACCTCGCTTCTGCTCTCCCCACCCCTCCCCAGGCTCCGGAAGGGGAGGCGCAGACAGGGAAACGGCCAAGGCCACCCAGCTGGGAGGGGGCCCAGGTGTGACTGCAGGGCCAGCTTCCCGTGCTCAGCACGGCCGGGGAGGCCTGGGTCCACGGCCACCTCTGGCTCGGGTGCTTCCTCCAGGAGGACACAGCTGGCCGGAAGCAGCCAGCCGGACCCTGGCACGGAGGCTGTTTCCTGCGGCCGCAGTGCACGCTCCGCGCACCCCTCCTCCAGCCGGCATGGGGGTCGGGGCTCACCCCGGCGTGGCCTCGCTCGGCGGGTCACGGAGACCCAGCGGGAAGAGGAGCTTGCTCGAGGTCACACAGCAACCTGGGGGCACATCCACTGCCCCCCCCTTCCCGCGCCACAGAGGGGCGCCCCCGGGCCGCCGTGGGGCTGGGCCTCACAGTCCTCGGCGGCCGACAGTTCGAGGATCCCGTGGCCCGCCGCCCTCCCTGCCCCGACCGCCCGCACAGCGGCGCGGACTCACGTGGCGCCTCGAGCTCGCAGTCCTGGGTGCCGCACGGCCGGGAGCTCTCGGGCCAGGCCTCGTGGCTGCACTGCTCGCTGGCTCCCTCGGGCAGCCCCGTCTGGGTGTTGACGCACCGGACCAGGCGCCGCTGCACGCCCCCACCGCAGGGGGCTGAGCACTGAGCGAAGGGCGGGGGAGGGGAGGGTCCAAGGAGCTGCACCTGCCCAGAGGCCCGGTGCGCCCTCAAGGGTGGGGAAGCTGCCGGCCCCGGACGCGGGCCGGGGGCCGCCAAGGGGAGGTGGCGGCACGTTCCTCCTCCAGGGCCCTCCATCCCGAGTCAGGCTTTATCATCGATGAGGATGGGAGGTTGTAAAATGCCGAAAAATGGGGTAATCTCTGGCACCGGTGCCAGGCCGTGGGCAACGTGTCTGCTGCCCTGCTCCGTGTACCCCGCACACCCACTTCCCCGGGAGAGAACACAGCGCCCAGAGCCGCTCAGCAGCCGGGGCGCAACCGCGGAGCTCCAGCGGGCCCGGCAGGAGGGCGTCCTGCGCCTCGCTCGCCACACCAGCCTCTGCTCCGCTCCTAAACACTCAGTCCTTCCTTCCTGCCCCAGGACTTCCACTTGCTGTCGCCTGGCAC